TTCATGAGAAAGGGGAGTACATCATTGTCCTGTACGTTGTTATTTATAGGCAAATAGCTCTCAGGCAGTTATAATTTACCTGCCTTTTTGTGAGCCGTTCCCCACAGTGTTCTACTGAAAAATTAGTTGGCTGTTACAGGAACTGTAGCTAATTTTGGAAAATATTTACACTAAAATACAAAGTATTTATTTTCAGTTTTAATTTACCTAACCTTTATCTAATTAGGAATATTATTGCAGGTAATCCAATAACAATTTTTAAATTAGCAGGTGCCTTCTATAGCTCATTTTATTCCTCAGCAGACGATTGATGTGACAGGTGCATTGTTATCGCAACCTGATTTACTGTGGTTTGCCAAACTGATGTATGAATTGTTCTTTTCTGAAGAAGCTGACGATTTCTGTAAATACGAAGCTAAGCAAATTAGCTCTCCTAAAAGTTATCTTTAGGTACTGCTGGAGTATACTTGTGCTTTTGTTTAAAAAAACAAAATAGTTTCCACATAAATTGAATAGTTGGTAAACTGGGTGTGAGAAACACTTTGTGGGCTGTGATATAACCTGCTGATTAGCTGACTTGGAGAGATGGCTGGATGTTCGTACCCTCTCTTGCGGTCTGGACTTGCAGGTTTAGAGTTTGGTATTGCGTAGTTTCATTAAGCAGATGCAAATTTTGGTGTTCTTATTGTGTGTGGGGATGTTCACTAAGTTATTCTGGAGTTGATTTTAATTCTGGTAAGAAGCTTGAATTAAAAATTAAGATCAGCTTTACACGTATTTGTGCCTAGTTTAAGACTTTGTATGTAAAGCATAGATTTAACCCAACGGCAGTGTTGCAGGAAGACTGGACTTCTGTCTTCAGTGGACTGTCATGCTGCTTTTATCCTTCAGCCTTGCATTCTGTCCTCAGAGTTTCAGCAGCTAATTCAGAAAATATGCATAATCTGTTGTGATGGTCAAGCTTTTTTCTTTAAAAGTATGCACCTTTAGATGCAAGTACCTAAACACCCATCTCAACTGACGAAAAGCTTGTGGGCATTCTTTCTTTTTTGTTGATTTTCCTTGGAATAGTTTAAAACTTAAGGGATTACCACTTGAAACGTGTATTTCTTCAGGTGGCCAGACGTGATTTGGTTAGCACTCAGTATTAAGGCTGGGCAGTCCTTTCAACCTTTCCTAATTGCCCTTCTAGAATGCGAGTGTAGCTCGAAAAGTTGTAGAGGAATCTTAATCCTAAAGCTGGGTTATGCATTTCTACACTTGTTAACTGGACAAAATGTCTCTTTGTACCAGTAACTTGTGTGTTGTTGTTTGCCGTGACTAGGAGGCTGCAGCATGTTGTTGTATGTATTTCCAGTATTTTCCTGTTTAAGATATAATTTAGCACTTTAAATCTCTTAAGTTCCTGTCTGCTCAGGCTTGCCCCATAATAACTGTTACAAGCAGCAGCCCTATGTTGCTTAAATGTTTGCTTAATAGTATTGGAAGACAGTATTTAAGGTAAGCTGGCCTTTTATAGTACTGAATACACAGTATTCAGCGGAAGAGGTTCTCCCAATAAAGTGACATAGTACAAATAGCAGGAAAAGTGTATAATTTCTGGAAACTATTAGAAAAGACAGTGTACGGACTAAATTAACCTCTGGAAATACCAGAATAGGTATACTGAGTTAGTACATGAAGTCTACCTTGAAAATGATGTTGTCTAGGTTTGGTGTCTGAAGAGATTTTTAATGTTGATGCTCAAACTGGACATTTTGAATTTGTGTTCTGTTACTTTCTTCAACTTAATTGTCCACTGTCTTTTATAATACATCTTTACTGTATTTATTCTTGCCAGAACTTAGGGAAAATATTACCCTATCCTTATTTCACAGGTGGGGGGAATCAGGGCACAAAAAGAGATCAAATGACTCGCCAATGCTAGCGCGATAAGTTGACCAGAGAAGTAAGGAACCAAACTATGGTTTTAAACCTTAGGCTGGTGTTCTAATGTCTGGGTGGTCATAGTCATCGTTCTCAACAGACGTTTGGCCTTGCAGTTCGATAGCAGTTCAAAAAGTTTAAACAAAATCAGCAGAGTAGTTTTCTTTATCTGTCTGTAAAAGAAGGTGAGAAAGAGCGTTTTCTCTGAAAACCTCATCTCAGTTGTATGGTACGGTCCCTAAACTTTTAGTTTAAAACATATTTAGCTGCCTACCTTTCTGCAAAGTAACGTATAGCCACTGCCATTATTTTTTCCTGTGCTTTCTGAGTGTAGGTTGAGAATCATTAAAGCTGATGAGTTTGATTTGGAATAAAATTGAATGCTTATTCTATTATGCGGAGTTGATAGACTAATGTTTTGATTATATTAGTGGACGCTTTCACAGAGCGAGTGCTTGTCCATAAAATCAGTAACTGTTCCAAAGAAAGATGTGATAGACATCAAACTTGGGAAAACTAAGTTTGCAAATGACATTTCTGCTAAAATAGCAAAATGCTATTTGTTTTTTATCAATTTTATGCTGATAAATCTACTTCAAGAACTTTTAGTTTGAGCAAGATCTATTAGAAGGTGAAGGTTTAAATCATTTGTTTTGGCAACATCATTCATATTATTTACAAACTGAATATTTATTTAAAACCCAACATAAGAAGCAAGTGCTGTCTTAAAAATACTGAGTCCAGTGTTAGAAGCAGTCTTACTGTTTAGGTCACTGAGGAACTGAGTAGTTTAAATGTTCTCTATGTATATGAAACAACTCTGAAATAGTGAAATCCGTCCAATGCTTGTGTCTGCATAAAATGTTACTGTGCAGTTTTCAGAATGAAGAGTCTGAAATGTGTGATAGTTCATTTTTAAAGGACGTTTTAGGAAGAAAATGACAGCTTTAACAGTGGAAGTATTCATAATGTTGAAGTGTTTGTTTGCTAAGTTAGGTAATTTGTTACCTGGAAGCTACAAGTAGTGTTATGGTAAAGGACGTTACTTTCCAACCCTTTTGATTACCTCAAAGCAAAGGCGTAATGCTACGGAGTAATGCTGAGAGTTAAAAGTGTTCCTTGGACTGATTCTGAATGTTTTTAATAAAGGTTTAATGTAAATTGCACATAACAATTAGAGTTGAAAAAAGCATTTGTGTATTTTATTAAAGGCAGTTGTGTTTGTGCTTAGTAAACTAACTTTTCCAGAAATGTAAGCCTTTTAACTTTCAAATCTTTATTTTATAGAATCGGCTTCTGAGGAGACTGGACAAAGTGGAAAAGTGCTCAGGAGCAGGACATGTATAATTAACTACAAAAAACATATAAAGCTGTCTAATGTGACGGAGAAGAAAAATCCACGCAGATGTGCTACTTTGGCAGCTAATAAGATTAAGATAATGAGTGATACAAAGGAAGAACTATCAAGCTCAGAAAGCGTTTGCACAGGAAAAAAGAACAGAAGGCAGCTTCATGGCAATGGATCAGCAGCATCCAGGAAAAAACTGATCAGCAGCTCCGAGATAGATGTTAGTTTAAAGTCTGAAAGTGAGAAAGAACAGTTTGCTGGCAGAAAAAAACTTTCTTCCTCTAATTCTGCTTTTAAAAGAAAATACATCAGTGAATCTGAAAATGAAAAAACAGATTCTGAGGCAGAGATAAAAATGACTCAAAAGCAGAGTGATGATAACCACAAGCAGCCACACAAAACAGTCCGTGCTGCCTCTCTTAAAAATGCCACATACAACTTTTCAGAGGAGAATTCCAGAAACCACAGTGTGGAAAATGGGAGAAATTGGAAAACTTCTAGTCGGTCAACTTCAGCCCACAACAACTGTAGAGTGAGCAGCTCTGAAGATGAGGCAGATTCTAAGTTAGCCAAACGTGAAACTAAAAATATCAGAGAGGTATCAAATAAAAAGTCTAGAACTTCTTTCAAAAGAGCAAAATTATTGAATGATTTAAAAGAAACAGCAGAATCTGAAACAGGGGGGAGGAAAGATGAAAAAAGCTCGGTATCGGAGAACGTGGAAACACCTGGGACCGCAGGAAGTTCAAAAGCCTATTTCAATTGTTCTTCTGATTCAGACTCTGGAACTGACAACAATAACTCTAGTGATGCCACAGAAACAAAAAAGAGGAAAAGAAAAGCAGAAGTCATTAGAAAAGAAATCTCAAACTCCAATTTGCCTAAGCCTTCCAGAAGACCCCAGCGAAGGAAATGTTGTAAACTTAATCAAGAAAATGACTCTGAAGATTTGGATTACACCAAATACAGAAGAGCTAATCGGCGTTCTAAGATAAGAACTCGAAATGGGGGTAAACGGACTGTGAGATACGACGATTGTGACGACGACGATGATAGAGGTTTAGATGATGTAGATTGTGAAACGTAACCTTAAAAAGAAAAGCCAGCACACTTTTTTTTTTTTATGGTAATAGCACTAGAACTCGTGATGGATGCTGGCTCTTCTTTGTCCTACATTTCAGGGAATATATTTATATTTTTCTATGAAAAAGTTATGAATGTGATTAGATCATGACTTTCTCCTTTTCATATTTTGACTTGCACTTGCCTGCCCATGTAGCAGCATTTAGCACAGATGCCAAAATGTGCCTCATTATAGGGGCAATTTTTTGTCTTTACTGGTATTTTATTACGTATAACAAGAGTTAAAAATGTTAAAACACTGCGCAACAGGTTAATAGCAGTATGTTGAGTATTATTGTTATGGGTGCTGCAATGGAATACTACCTAGGTCATACAACATTAACACATTCAAGAACAGATTTCAAACATCTCTAATGCTGTATGAAATCCTATACAATAGTAACAGGCTTATAAATAATACTGTACACTATAAAAATCTGGTGGATGCTAATATTGCATCAGAAGAGCAATGAATGGTCACTAGGTTAATAACATTACAGCTTGTATTAGTACAGATGGTAAATGTTCTGTACTTCCAATATTGAAAACGTACAACTAGAACCAGTTACCAGTGAAAAGCATATTTGCCGATTAAAAAGGCATCATGGTGCTGGTAAAGAGAGGGTTTATGCTGACAGGTAGTACTACATCATCATTAATGTGACTTCTATACTGTAAATTTAAGAATATGAAATGCAGGTGAACTCTTGGGCCTAAGGGTTTTTGTGTGTTTTCTTTATAAAACAGAAAAACAAACAAAACACTTGTTCTGTTTTTTTTCTGCGTGAAATGATTGAGGTTCATTCTTACATTCCGTACCTTTTTTGCTATTTTTCCATTGTTCTTCCATATTTAAACTTCAAGTGCTTTAGTATTACTTTGCTGCACTGATTAAACCTTATCGGTTTCTGATTATTGTAGTACCCTATCTACCTATTTTTGGAACGCGTAAGACAGCTGTTGTTGACAACAAATAATTTTTCTCAGAAGATAGGAAAATATTTCTTCTGTTAAAATGTATAAATTCTTGGATGGCCAGGTATCAGATAAGAGGAATGCACAACACCTAATTTGATTCTCTACTCTTATCCAACTCTTCCTGAGGTGTGCTTAGTTTACTAGAGAACTAACTGGTCAAGGAGCAGCTTCTGGCCTCCCCTTGGCCAGTAGGAAACTTGCTGCCACAGCTGTAGCTGTTTCCTCCCTTGATGACATGTACTCATGGAGCTGTGCTTGCTGAAGCTGTAAGGTTACTGCACAGCACTAGTTTCTTGGCGATTTCTGCTGCTTTCCCACTCTCCACCATAGCTTCCTGCCTCCGCTCTTCTGGGTCAGTTTCTCACATGGTTGATTTATGTGATTCTTGATCTTAGTTCAAGAGGACGGATATGTGCTCATATATTTGTCACAACCCAACTGATTTTAACTGAAATAGCAAGTTTGTGAGTTAGTTTTCCAGCAGATGGGACAGGTACTAATATCTGGATGGGGAAAAGTCTTGAAAAACTGTAAGCAGTATAGCTGCATAATCAAGCTCTCATTGTATCAGCTTATGTGAATGGAAGTGAAGTAACAGAAAATGGAGTCCCAACCACTGCCTAACAGCAGTTAGTGAAAACCACTTCTCCAACAAGTTTGCTCATATCGTGTGCCAAAATGTGCATCAGCCATCACATCATTTTGGTATCTGATTGGTATCTCAATATAGAGAAAAGCCTGTTCCCCCCCCCCCCGCCCCTTCCTCGAGACTTCTGTATGAAGTCCAGTGATAACCTAGTTTGTACCATTTTTGCCCTAGGAGCTTGCTTTTTTAATTAGAAGTAGTCTTTATTAGTTTAACTTTGTAAATTCAAAGTACCTGTTTATCTGAATATTTTAAGGTGGTTTCTCAATAGGGACACATTTGTGTTTAGTACTGAAATTTGGCTCTTTGAAGTGGCTTTGTGTACCTTACCTTATGAGGAGCATCTTTGTTAAAAGAGAATAAGCAAATTAATCCATAAATGGAATGAATTGTTTAGCAGCTACTTATGATCAGTGTTCTATGAAGTCTGACTGCCAATGTAGGGGTAAAAAAATGAGTATAATAGCTTGTAAGTGAGCTTCAGAATTTTTATTAATCTGAAGTTTAAACAGCTGAAATTGGGCTGGTAGGTTTGTATTTCTAATTCAGGCTTAGATTTAAAAAGATTCTTTTCTTTCTCTTCCTTTTCCAGGTGTTGTATTTTCTATCATACTGCATTTTTGCTCTTATACGTTCATGATGATCCTAGAAAGCTGAGCACAGGTTCTGGCCCCCGTACTCACATATCTGAGAGGGAATTAATAGCTTATGGACCATAAAATTTTATGTTACAAGCAAAGTAAATGCTGTTTTGTACTTTATGATTTTATTTATATGGACAGGTTGCAGAGAACCAATAGGAAGATGAATAATTGAACTCTTTTTTTAACCCTCTTGGAGTTTGTGAGCCTTTTTTTTTTTTTTTTTTTTAAGCAAGTGTACTTAACTGTTGTCACAGGTTACTACTTTTAAGCCTTGCAGAAGCAGTTCTTTCATCTTCCTGGAAACTTAATCATTCAGCACTCTTTGTCTGGTCTAGCTGCACTCAGGGAAATAAAGTGATTTAGTAGACCTTTATTTAAAGCTGCTTGATGTAATGCCTTTCTAAGCTGTTTTTTTTTTTTTTAAGCAGGACTTGAATCTGAGATAATGAATAGGCTAACAAGCAGCACGAACAGAGGAAAATACTAAAGATGCAGGACAAAAGCATAGGAGAATCAAATTCTTTAAGTACTACTAAGACTTTCATTATGATGTACGTGTAGAAGTGGACCAAAGTAAAGCTATACATACAACTGTAATTTCACTGTATTGTTATTTGCAAACGTTTGGTATGTTAAATCTTGCTGTATCGGTTTTTTCTGTCTCTGTATGCCGTAAGGAACCCAAAACAGGTGCTGTATTACCTCCCTGCCTTTGAAGGAACCATCTGCTCCGTTGTTACTAATGCAGCTGGGGGGGTGGGAGTGGGCTACCTAAAGTAAACATGCTGCTGTCATGGCTACGGTGCAGCTTGTAAGTGACGCAGGCCTTCAGCTCTCGGGGGCCCTCAGCCATTAACTGTCTAGTTCTTCTCTCGGCTGCTCAGCTTTTAATAAGGTAGATACTACTTTAGATCAGATACTGCCTTCTGCCTGCTAAGAGAGAAACGCACGTAAATCACGCTGGAAACCCGCAGTGGTGCTCTCCTTTCCCTTCCCCTCCTCCTCTATCCTAACCAGGTAAGGGGGGCGGGGGGGCTCCACGATCTGCGGCGGTGAAGGC